GTTAAATGATTTTATTTAGATAAATTACTTTAAAAAATTTGCATTTATATCTGAAGAAATGGTTAATGACACAGCGAATTTTTTTTATTTTTTTTATTGCTTTGATGGGTGGACGAGCTCACAGCCCACCTGGTGTTAAGTGGTTACTGGAGCCCATAGACATCTACAACATAAATGCGCCACCCACCTTGAGATATAAGTTCTAAGGTCTCAGTATCGTTACAACGGCTGCCCCACCCTTCAAGACGAATTCGACAATAATGGGCAGCGTATAACTTTACTGCGATATTATTTATTTTTAATTCTGTTATATTCTATTATGTACAATTTACGTGGAGAGAGACAATTAAATTACTAAATTGTAAATCATGATAGTTAATTTTGAGAAACTATAGAAAAAATGCCATATATTTTATAAGCTTCATACGGAGAGCGATGGCGGCAGACGCATTCATGAGTCCTCTGTGAGAGACGAGACGGTGTAAGTAACAGTAAAACAAGTCTTTACGGTGGAAAATAATGCAGTGGAAACCTTTCATTTATATGTGCGTTATGAAAAGTATGTTATTATGTCATAGAACCGAAAAAAAACATTTCGGTTATCCTATGTCAAAAACTATAGTTCATTTCACTAGTGATGTTTACACAATATAAAAAGTGGTGTTTATTTTTAATAAAATGATGCAAGCGTACTCAAATCCTCTTTGAAAAAAAAATTTATCACACACACATTTGTCAAGTTTGCAAATTGTTTTATAAATAAGATTTTTCTTTTAAGTATTTTGCGTTGCTCGGCTTCATTTTTCGCTACGTTAGTAAATTTGTCAAGAGAAAAGGACTGTTACGTTTTTTTTTTATTATTGTTATTATCGAAGGGAGTGAAGCATACGGACTGTCTAACAGACAAAGCCAGGGGCGTAGGTGATTCGCAGCCAAAAATTTAAACCTCTTTCAAAGGTCGTTTAAGCGACATGCCATAGCAGTAGAGAAACACAGTGGAGGGCAGTTCATTCAAGAGTCCGTATAAATACTCCCCATATGTCGCGAATAAGATCTCTGATATCGGACCATGGGTGACTTCAAGCTTTTCAGGTATTGTAATAAGAGAAAACCTTTAACGAATATAAGGTTTGAATATTATAGCCTAGAATATTAATTGACTTTTGAGAAAATTTGCATTTTTGTATGGTTGTACAAAGTAATGATCGAATTGAATGTAAGGCTTGTGGTAATACTTGCTCCCAATTTTCTACTGAAAGATTCTTCGTCTTCAGCGCCAAAAGAATCGTAGTTATTATAGGTTAATGTCTTCATAATTTCATCATTTTTCATTTAAGTTATACAAAGTTGTAGCCTTAATTAAGTTTGATTTCATGACCCATACGCGTTGTATATTTACTTGAAACGTAGATGGAATTTATGGATGGAAAAGCAATACGAGGGCTATAATGTATTTTAATATGTTATAGTAAATAGCAGGTTTGTAGCATCTATTTTAAAACACTACTAGAGGTCCCGCAGTAGTCGAAATTCGACTATAATAATTAATTGGAATTGTAATTTTGTACACTATTATGATTGTATTTTATACTTCTATAATCACAAATTTCGCCAGGACTACACTATAAAAAAATATTAATAAAGCCAAATAATATTTAATCTATTCTCAATTTGACCACAGACGTCAAGAACAAAAGTTCTATCAATAAATAGTATGCTTGCGTGTGTGCGTCAAATACATGGTATGTAGTGTGTGTAATGTTTTCTTTATTGATTTAATGTGTCTTATGCATTATTTTAAAAAAATATTAGCATTGTGCACTTCTTCTCTATATTCTCTATATGTGTGGAAAATTTCATACTCCTCCGTCCGCGTAATTTTCGTAAAAGGGATACAAAGTTTTTACTTCACGTATTAATATATAGATAAGATTGTTCTTTTAAGGATTTTGTGTTATCGGCTTCATTTCTCGCTACGTTAGTAAATTTGTCAAGAGAAAGAACTGTTCTGTTTTTGTGTTTTAAAACAATGTCTTAATGTTTTAAAACACTATTTAACTAAAATCTCTCACAGACTTGTATAATATTTTTTTTGTAAGCAGGCGATCATTAAGAATTTATTAAGTAAGAAATGTTATTTTTAGATAGACGTGTTAAAATATCTCGAATCTTGAATTTAACATATTGAGTGTAGCATAAGCTGTAAGTGCCGTAACGATCGTTTTCGTTTTTAAGCATAACACGATTAAATAGATATGAATAATAAACTAGCAATCTGTTTTATTGACGGTTTGTATTGTTCACCTTTTTTGTTTTGTTTTTTTTTTTCTAAAAATATTTCGCCACCCACAGCGACCAGGTGTCAAAAGTAAACTTTCATTTCTCATTTCGAGATGTTGGTTGAGCAAATGGACAAAGATAAAGGGACTTTATTGTTTTAGATGTCGCAGGTACTTTGGTCCATTGTCCGCTTGTATGTAGATGCCGGTCCGCGCTCTGTGTTCACCTGTCCCTAAGCATCCCGTAATTCTTCAGCTCATAGCAGGAGACAGACAGGATTTTTGTCTTAATAACCTTTGTCAGTGAATATTGCATTTCATATAATACAAATAAATATACAAACAAAAGAACATAAAAAGGATAAAGGAACCAAGGAAACAAAAAAGTAAAAAAAAAAAAACATAAATCAATAATATAAATATTGCATTTATTTCAACGAATTCTGCAAATAAAATAACTGTAGATAATAATAATAATACTATTCAGTTTACAAGAATTATACTTGATTACTAAAAGACGCATTTGTACGTCTAAACACAAAAATCAATCACTGGCTGGCACAGGGCTTTGTTTCGTTAACTATTTAGCAATAATCACCTCTATAACAGTAAATGCAGATCGCAGATAATTACATTAAAATTAAATTATACAATTAAATTAAAATGGAAGTCGTAGTGGAGGCTAATTCAATATCAATCGCACATTTTACACAGCACGAACGTGCAATTTTATATGTATCTATATGACAAAACAAAATAATAAAAGTAAAACTAAAGGACAAAAATAAATACAAACATAACATAAAAAAACAAAATAATAATATACAAAAAAAAAAAAATTACAAACAGAAAAAAGGCTATATGCAAATAAACATTTTAATATTCAAAATCGGCTGCTATGCGCTTATTCGTTGGAACGTAAATGAAACTATGAGCATAATATTATGTTCGGCGTTCTGAATTTTGACATTTGCATTTGAAAGATCAATAATAAGACGTGTATCGCGGTGGCTGAAGGTGACGGGAAACAAACTTTCACATAAAGAATAGAAGGGATAAATAAAGGAATAATGGCGACACCCAGGGCGCGTGCGACGACTTGCATGCGCGCACCACGAGCAAGCCTACACAGCCGACATTCGGTATTCAAGAAAATATTTGCATATCACCTAACTCCCCAATAACGGCTCACTTATGTAAATGTCTGATGAATGGCAAAAAACTGCAGCCGGCGCGACCCCGCGCGACAATAAAGACTTCATTATTATGTTAAGTGCACAGACTTGTAAACGTTATGCCTGTATTTATTTTGATACTGCTAGCATCGCTCCTTTGTCGGAGGCAATCGTAAAACATACGAAGTACCTAAGCTAATTAGATACAAGTTATATCACAAATTCTTAAGATGCCTCTACACGTAAACAATATATTTATTATACCTTTGCTTAGGTCGTACTATCTAATTACACATCAACTATCTGCAAGCGAACATTTTACAGTGCAGTACCTATCAATAACGTTACCAAACTAGTAGTATACTTTTACATATAAATATTTACAGTGGAGCACAAATAATAATTTACAAAACACTCGAATCCTACAAGGCACCTTATTTAATAGTTAAACTTCAGGCTTTTCTATGACTTTACATTTAAAATATAACTAAAATGTTAAATTCTCTAAGATATATAATTTGGTTTTCATTAAAATTCTACAACAATCGAAAAAAACCGCTAATACCTAATAGGAGTTTTTAAATATAAACAACTAGGAAGAATAATATTATGCAACAGATTACTAGTCTATATATGTATCATCACTACGTTATGTTGGTTTGTTAATAAAATTCCCTTTTTTATTTACAGTTTTAATCGAAGAAACAATTAAAGTTATCCCGTCACTCGAATGAAAGACTGTTGATTGCGACGATTTAAATAATTGATTATTCATGTAGAGCGGAATGCATGTGAGTCGGATCGGTCGCGTCAGATATACGACGTCCTTCACGCGTCCTAACTCCTACCATTGTTGTGTTTCGTTTGCATTTGAATAGTGGCGGGTAAGAGCGAACCTCCCACCGACCCGGCTCGGCCCGCCTCTAGCGACTCGATGACAACGCGAACGCACCATTTCATCCACCTAATACTTGTCTATCACTCTCGCCTCATAAATATCAACAAACAACTGTCATAATTCGAAATAAAAACAATGCAATCGTAAACTGTCACAACATGGATGCAGCCGTCAGATTGGCGTTGTGTCGTGCAACGCTGCCCGGTTTCGAATGCTCATTCTAATAATTATTGAAATTACGAAGCGATTTCTGAGATTGAATCGAGTTCCTACGTGCCGCCGTTATTAGCGATTACTAAATTTAAAATCAATAGTTTTGACGTAGTTTGTATGTTATTTTTTGGTTTTGGAAGACAACTTTTTTTTTTATTATTTCATTAAAAAACCAACATAAAGTAAGATATAAATAAATTCTTGACAATGACAGATTATTTACAGAAAGAACTCACTAATAGGAAAATAGCAACGACCGTCACGACACCAAAGGAGCTTCGCTCGAACCGGGTTCAATGCTGCGAAGTTGCTACTACTTGAAATGCTACGGTCGAGCGAAACTCGCCGCTACGAGGTTCTACTACATTAGACCCTGAGTCGTACAGTGTTCCGGCACGCTATACGAGTCAGACCCTGGTCAAGTGGTGCACTCACCGTTGCCGGCGAGTTGCGGCCGCAGGAACGCGTTGTGAAGCTCTCCGCCCATGCCGCTGTCAAGACGCGCTGCCATTTGCATCAGTGCGAACGTGCTGTCGTCACCGACACTGGCGCCGCTTTCCAATCGCGCTCGTACCGCCGCGATGTGACCCCGTGTAAACACGTGATCTTGCACCGAATACTTGTGGCTATATTTAAAATCACACACGCGACATTCTTCCGGGGGAGGTGCATCAGATACTTCCGCCAATCCAGCAGCTAGGCGCGCCTTTTTTTCTTTGGCACGTGCGTTTTGAAACCAAACTTGTACCACTCGTTTTGGTAAGCCTATTTCGCGACCTAACGCCTCACACTCGGCCATCGTCGGCGTTTTGTAATCCGTGAACAGTGACTTCATGATTTTCACTTGTAAGGATGACATCTGAGTGCGATATCGTTTACCGGGTGGACGAGGTGTTTGTGGTTGACCGGCCATGATAGGCGATGAGGGTTCGTCTTCTTCATAGAATTCCATTGTTTCGGAGGCAGTATCTGAACGCTCATCTGCGTCGGACCCAGGTCGTGATAAATCCACAGGCTTACTGAGATCTAAAGGGATCTCTGATTTTCCATGTTCTGGGCGTCTATCGGAGGAGTCGTTGCTTCCACCGTTCTGTTGGGCAGCGGCATGAGCTTGTAATTCGCTCACGTAACGTTTCATCGATTCTTCACTGTACTGTTTGATAAATTTCTCCATGTCTGAATGAAAAGGCGGGAAAATAGGGGGCAACATGGGAGCCCCCGCTTGGGAAAAATTTTGCTGCCTGTCACTTTGTTGAGAACCAAAACTTGGCGTGGACTCCGTACTAAGTTCTTCGTCTGGTAGTGCGTCCACGTTAATTTCGCCTCGTGTGCACTGATCAGCATGCTTCGTACTTAAATGGCTTTCTAACGCGCTTTTCACTTTAAACAAAGCTGGACAAAATGGACATCTTTTATTTATAACTTGGGCATGAGCCCGGAATTGCCCTTTTCTTTCCCGGGCTCTGGTGTTTTGAAACCAGACCTGTACCACTCTTTTTTTTAAACCCACTTCACGTGCAATATTTTCAAGCATTTTCCTTGAAGGATTTGATTCAATTTGATATTTTTGATAGAGATAGTCAAGCTGTTCTGGCAAGATGGTAGTTCTTAATCTTTTGTCTTTTGGTTGCTCTCCAGTATCTGTTTCCTCAAATTCATCAAATTTTCTTTTCACTACTTGTTGATTTAGTGCTGCGACTAAAGGGTGTCGTGCCTCCTCATTGCTTAACGAAGCATTTAACTGTTGAAGTTGAGCATGTTGTTGTAAGATCCCAAAAGGGGAGTCTGGCGGATAAGTAGGAAATAAATTTGGGTTCATTATGTGAACCAGTTGATGCTCTCGCCATAAATCGAATCGAGGGAAGACCAGGTTGCATTTATCACATTGAAAATTTCCATCTTTTTCTTCTCTAGTTTGATGTGGTAACTGAGTTACAGGAGTTAAAGTAGTTGGTGGCGCTGGAGATACAGGGTAATTAGGCGCAGCTGGAGTGGGAGTTCGAGGGGGTGCAGGTGAAACTGGTACAAGAGGATTATGATGTTCTACGGTGCTTGAATTGGAGTCTTCACTACTCAATGTTGCAGCTACTTGTGCTGCAGCAGCCTGAGCTTGCGCGGATCGTTTGGCGTCTTCTTCTTTAAAACAATGCGTTTTCTGATGTCTTATTAGTTCGTAGTATCGTTGAAACACTAGTTGGCACTTTTTACATTGATAGTTAAGACCGGGAGTGCGCTGAAATCTATTAGCATCATCTGTTGCTCCTGCCGGCGGATCCGCTGCAGGTTGATTCTCGTATACTTTTCTTGCTTTTTGACGAGCATTTTGAAACCAAACAACAATGACCCTCGGACTCAGTCCTAACAACTTAGAAAGATATTCTAAATCATCGTCTTTGGGATATGCATTATTTTCAAAAAATTCTTGAAGAACTTTTATCTGGTAATCAGTGAATCTAGTTCTGTTGGCGCGTTTGCCAGAAGACCCCGAGCTGTTGGATCCGTTCGAGTTGCCCCCGGAAAGTCCGAAATCGGCTGGACCCCTGCCGGGGCTCAGACTGCGATTTGGGGTCAAAGGTAGGACGTTCGGGGGCGCGGAGTTTGGGGACGTGAAATTTGGATTTAACTTAGGTGGCAACATTGACGGATGTGGTGGCTGCGGTATACTCGTTGCTGGTATTGAATCAAGTTGCGATTGAATTAATGAATTCAACGATATATGTGTTGGAGACGATGGTTGAGAAATATTATGATGATTATCAGGATGGCTTATCGGAGCTGGGCTTTGAGAAGGTGCTTGAGGAAAAACGAAACTTTTATCCTCTTGATGCCGATCATCATATGAATTAAATTTTTCTTCCATTGTAGGTTCATCGCAAGGTTCAGATTTTACTTCCTGATGATTTATAGAGTTATTTTCTTCATATTTTGCTTTTTTTTCAGGCGGTGGTTTGCCTTCATCCGAGCTGGCAGATGAATCAAGAGGTGTAACTTTTGCTTCACCAGTTTTCTCGTACTCTTCAAGATTTAACGTAGTAGATGGTGGATTATTGAAGTTGTACGGAGAATCTTTATTACGTTGTCGTTCTTTGAATAATGTATTTCTGAACCAGTGTTTGATTACCTTAGTGGCAAGTCCAGATTGTTGAGCCATTTTAGCGATGGCCTCATCGCTTGGTGAGTTATTTATGTCGAAATGTGCTCGTAAAATCTTGAGTTGTTCGTCTGTGATACGAGTGCGGGCTCGCTTCTGTCCAGCCGCAGCATTTGCCTAAAAAAATATTCAAAGATAAACATTTGGGTACTGCGAAATAATAGATATAATCCATAAGACTAAAACGTGTTTTTAAGGGGACAAAACAGGCTAAAGGGTTCATTTATCCACAGAGCTATGGCCCCTTATTGTTGGCAGGTAAGTTTGAATAATAACTGGAATCTTTGTTGCTTCGACCGATATACGTAACAATAGAAGCTCTGTTACTTTGTGCAAACAGATAGCTAAAGTTAACTCGCCACGCTTATCTTGGATAGGTCAGATTGTTGGCCGTAATCAAGTCATATATAGGTGTCAAAGTAAAAACTAACATTTAAAAATATCCCAAAGTACCTGATTTAAACTTTTATTTTCATAAATACATAAGTGTTTAATATTTTTATTTGAATTTCAAATTTAGTGAACAGTTGAGATTTTCATTAATTAATATCAATTAATCAATTACGAAGAATACTGAAACGCTGAGTTGATCATTTTAAATTGAAAGAAGAAAAAAATTCCGAAATGAAAGGCAGCTACAATTTCATATGATTTGTCTTTAACAACATTTTATTTTGCCTCTAAAACGTAAACAAAATTTATAAATAGTTAACGTTAAAGAGACAGACACGTATTCAATATTTTGTTATTACAATATCATATCGAAGGGTAAAAAACTATTTGGTTTAAGCGACATTTTTGCAACTTTACAGGAGATTCATTTAAAGCTTAATATTATTTGGAAAAAATATTATAACAAAAAAACTTCTTTTACTATTTGAATAATGTAAATTGTAGTTTAATTAAAAAAATCGAACTGTTGATGCTAATATCAAATAAAACGCAGCTTTTATTACAAAGATAAATGTCACTTATTAAGCGAAATGTCGCTTTAACCAAAGAGGTTATAATATCACCTCTCGATATAATGTTGACAATAATAGAAAACAAGTCAAAGACTATAATAATATGCGGAAGGAAAGTACTGAAAATTTCATGGAAAATCGAATTTTGGAATCGAAAGTAATGTATGTATACGAAAAATATTAGCTGGCTCTTCGCTCGATCTTAGAGAGACATCGGAGCCAGCAGACCCAACAAGGGGCTGCAATTGACAACAACTGAGACATTCATTGTTTGTTACTAGGAAACGATTAATATTTAACTTTAGCTTTAGATAAGTTTTGGGTATTTGAGATTTTCAACATTTTAATATTCTTCAAAACATAAAATACCATCGAAATTGATTAAATTTAATAAACTGTTAGATTTCTTAGTGGTCCTTTTGGATAGAATTTAACTCACCATGGTGTAGATATTTAATTCTCATTACTGACTTTATTCTTCGGTTGGTTTACGATTTGTTACAATTCGCATTTTTGTTGAATAAAATATCTACCCCAATGACGTTTTACATGTGTTAATAAGAAAACCTAACTAACTGTAATTATACTTGAGACCTTAGAACTTATATCTCAAGGTGGGTGGCACATTTACGTTGTACGGATGTCTATGGGCTCCAGTAACCACTTAGCACCAGGTGGGCTGTGAGCTCGTCCACCCATCTAAGCAATAAAAAAAACGATTTTTTTTCTAAGTTTTGTTTAACAATAGTAGTTAATACTTCACCTTGCAACTTTTAATTTTGTTTTCATTTAATTTTTGTTTACAGTTTTCAATTGAAATGAATTATAAACACTATGAGCTCAGTTAAAGCCGATTATGAATATATTATAAATTATATAATTGTATCGTTTCTAAAATATTGATACACGTGACTTATTATGTATTTATCTAGTTCATATGAATTAGAGAAAGTAAAAAAGTAGTGAATATTCAATAAAAATCGTACCTGCTGTTGTTGCTGGATCAGTTGTTGTTGTTTGAGTTGGGCGTCGTGTGCGAAAGACATCGCATCAAAGGGCGGAGGTGGCATCATTATTGGTACCAGAGGTGGTTGCAGGTTCATTGCAGCCAATGCCCCGACATTCAATCCTAGTGGCAACCCTAGAGATAGCATTTGTGCGACCATCGGGTGTATCGTACCCAGCTGCTGTTGTAACTGGATCATGTTCAGCGCTGCTTGCATCTCTTGCACTTGAGCAGCTAGCAATGCACCGGCCTGCGCTTCACCAGCCGCATTTCCGTTCTCGTTGTAATTCGCACTACTATCGCCCCGCGGCGACGGCGACCTCTCACCTTGCGGTGCTGGAGACGCAGCACGCGGCGAGTTTGGCGCACCTGATTTTCTTTCATATTCCGACTTAAATTGTTCCGCGAACTGTTCCAAAAACTCCAATGGCACTTTATCCTTGTGCACTTCTTCACAATGTGTTTTTAAAACGAATACACTAGAAAACTCTTTATTACAATGTTGACATGTCGATTTATTTTCACCGTCCGGCGGCTTTTCTTCAGGTGGCGGTGGCGGCGGACTTGGCGCGCGTGCGATTTCACGTTCCTCTTGTAGCTTTCGTCGCTGGTTCTCATTGTATTGCATGACGAGGTCGAATCCGAAGGTTTCTAAGAGTTGTTTGTACATTTGCGAGTTACGTTTGGGCGGATTGCCCTTTGCGACCATTTCGTCCAATGCCGCAGCTTCTGCCTCACCTAACGGCGAATGCGCCCGCGCATCGCTAAACGGGCATGAAGACGCACGATGTGCGTCGAGTAACTCCGCAGTCGGGAATGACGCGTGGCACCGATCGCACGCGGCGTTACCTGCGCGAGGGGAACGAGGGCTACCTGGCCGGGCGGGGGGTGAAGATCGCGGTCCCCCACTGCTCGTAGACGAAGGGGATGTATTTTTTGGCGACAGCACGTCTTGTAAAATTTTAGCGGGGTCCTTTCTATCTGGTTGCTCTACTAATGGTCGTGTCAAGTCGACTTGTCCAGTTGCGGCTAATTCTTGCAACTTGCCAGCCCTTGTCTGATGTAAGACTGATCTCATATGTATGTCGAGATTACTGCCTTGAGTATATGCTACTTTGCAAATGTTACATTTGTAACGTTTACGATCGTCTTCTTCACTCGAAGTACTTTTGGGAGTTAATGTTAGATTAGAGGGCGCCGAACCCGCTCCAGGCGATACGGGAGGATTATTATTATTCTGTTGTTCTTGCATGGCCCGTTTGAGTTTATGTAGATGGCTCACGCTGTTGTAGTGTACCAATAAGATATTCTTTTGAGTAAACGATTCTTTGCATACATCGCATTTAAAAGGTCTGTTTGGATCAAGGTATTTTTCCATTGGATAAGTTAATTTTTCACCTTTTCTGTGCAGTAAGGTTTTGTTGTGAGCTGTCAAATATGACTGACGTGTGAATGCCACTTTGCATCGGTGACACTTATATTTCCTGTTCGGGTCATTGTATGAATCTTCAGCCATAGCTTGCGAATTTAGGTAGTCTTCCAAAAATTGTTGATCTTTGTAAATTATTGAATCATCAGAGTTTTCAGCATCGTTGTGACCGGATTCATCGGCCACAGTCGCACTTGAATCTCTATCCTCCATATCAGCTAAATCGTCGTCTGGTGTTCTTAGGGCTTCTTTACGGAGAAGCTCTGCAGTAGCAGCATCGAGAGCGGTGCCTTGTCCGGCCTGCATCAAGGGATTCGATGCTAAGCTACGTTTAAAAGCAGTGAGCTCATCCTCGGATAGTTCCGGATGTGAAGTTTCGACGTGTTTCTGAAGGGCGAGTACAGATCGAAAACTTCTGCCGCACAGCACACACTTTGTCGCATCTCTGATGACATGATATTGTGAATGCAATTGTAGTTTCTCCACTGTTTTAAACGCCAAGCTGCATTGGTTACAACGATACTTGTAAACGTGTTTCTCTGATACTGACATGTTAGCGATCGAGTTTCGTGCGTGAGCTTCCCGAAAATGATTCTGCAAAGCGTGGGCTGCATCAAAGTAACGATTGCATCCTTTCTTCCAGCAAACGTAGCCCGGCCCTTGAGGCGTTTGCTTGAGTTCTAAATGTCCTGTTTCATTTTGATGCTGACATAGTTCATCTACATTTCTAAATGTTCGGCTGCATGTCGAGCACCGTTCCATCTCTCCATCAGCACTGCCCTCTGAGCGTGGAGATGATATTTCTCTATCTTCGTCACCCTGTCGAGATTCATCCCTTTGCTGGGTGCCACCATTTAGCCAATGACTTTGATCTACTAAAAGCAGTAGCCTCTGTAAGCCTTCTGAATTGACTGAATGAATTTGCATTACATGTCGTTCTAGGGCAGGTCGATCCTTGAAGGCATCTTGACATAAAGGACAAATAAAATGACGTGCAGTGTCAGCGTGCACGGAAGTGACATGAGCGTGTAGACGAGCTTCACTCGGGCAACTGTAATTACAGTAAGGACACGCGTGAGGTCCTGGAGTTTCCCTTTCTTCGTCTCTATCATTTGAGGCTTGTTGATTTTGTTGTTGTGTTTGAAGTTGCTGTTGCTGCTGCTGTTGATGGTGATGTTCGAGAAATCGCAACATTTTCTGTTCTTGGGTCAGTTCTGGTTTCTGATCAATAGGCTCTTTGGTGTCTGTTGACAAAAAAATAACTGATTATTTGTCATTTTATAAATAATTTTAATTAATACGAATAAACGAACCTCCCTCAACGAAATCCGCAAACCAAATGAAAAAGGAAATATCTGTACACCTTAAATCTACAACATCTACGTGAGATTTATCTACAAAAAAGATTATTTCTATAAATGAAACCAGCTATTGTTCGGTGCGATCGTTTGTTACTTTTCTGAACTCAAGTTAAAAATAAAATTCTTCTCTTTTATATTATTATTAGGATTCGTTTTGTTTGCGACGTCCCGGCAAGACAAAGGTATCGGTTCTATCCATCCCGCACGCACACACACATAACTGTATTAATGCCAGTGTAACAAGAGTATTGTAATTTCGCACACAAAGAAGATATAGGACGAGCAAACAATCATTGTTCATTATTACAAAAGGTTTCGAATATTTCGTTTCGCAGTGGATCAGATGCATCGAGACAGTTAACGTATAAGTCGCGGCGTGTATGAGGGAGATGAAGCTACCGAAGATATGTGAGACTGCAATTATTATTTTGACCAGGGATAAGTCCGGGGCAGCGTGTGAAAGACTTCGATGTATCATTGTTTACGCTTAAATAAGGACGTTGTAATAAAACGGTTTCAAATACAATGGGAACAGCTCAGTAAATAAATGCATATTAAGAAAACTATATGCTTATAATTTCATAATTGTATTTCATATTTGTTCTTGTAGAGAGACGAAATTTAAAATTGCTGTTTTATTTATTTTCAAAACTATCATCAGTGCGATTTTTATTTTAAGCGTATATTAAAATCGTGCACGCCAATATGTGAGTTACTAAATCAAAGCGGGACGACTTGGGGAATTGAACTTAAAAAATTAATTAAAATCAAAAATCGTCTCACAGTCCAGTGGATTTAAAACCAGTCGACCCCCCAATATAGGAACCCGTTCTATAGTTTTAAGCATTCAAAACCGTTACAACTAATGATGGGGAGAGGGATAAACCCGTAATAATAATCATAGCGCAACTGACCCTAAATCCGAGCCGGAGTGTCCAGTGAATGTAATTATTTATGATGTAAAATCGCCGACCCACCGTCTGGTAGTAGCATAGAACAATGGCCAGGTAAAGAGAACTTGTCTTCATAAATGCGATCTCTGGACGCTTTTTGTCAATGGACAAAGGGCCTTTTCTAAGGAAACACCACATCGTTATAGCATCGTAAAGCAGTATTGTGCAGTGCGAGTTTTGTTTCGCGAGATTTAGGTCAGAATTTTTACAATGTGGCGTCAGGGGTACAATGGGAGCCTGAGTGTTCATTGGCTATGGACCGACTGGGTTGAATCAGTTTCTATTAATCGTTCGTGTGTTGCAAAATTCGATCATTTGAGCTCTTTTGTGTATGTGCATGCAGACGCGCTTGCGTATTTTATATATGAATTGACAGATTGTTTTGGAATGTTCCAAATCCGAATATTCAAATCCAATTCTAGGTAGACCTCAAGCTAGCCAGCCTCTTTGGACCTATAGTGTGTATGTTGACGTCACATTAGCTATTAATCCGTTTGATGGGAGCTCATTACTATCGCGCCTTATACTATTAATGAAAAATTTGTGACGTCTCTATATTTGTTTATTGTTAGATTTCTTAGAGGCTGTATTTTTGAATTTTCTTTACAACGCAGCGCAAGGTCGCGTCACATAATAGGGTTGTGATCTTAAAGAGGATATAATAAAAATGGAATTCTTGTAAGATATGAAATTGGTGAAACACCGGACATAAATTCAAGTATAAGAGACATCTTACAATGAAAGAATACAGTTTGTATTATAAACGAAGCTCTCTTTGGCGGATGAGCAAAAAACCCGCTAAGAGTTTGTGACCGGCCTGAATTAGAGACCGGTTTAAATTCTGGTTTTGATTGTATTGATGAGATCCTTGTTACTAATGACTCAGTTACCGAGGGGCGGAACAGTGAGACAGGAGGCGACTGATTTAAATTGGCAGCCAACACTAAAGCAACATTTCTTTTTGTTTACACTGTGTAAGCTTACTTTTTCGTCGCATTCAACTGTCTGTTTCGCGTTGAACCGTAAATGAGTCGACCAAAAATTTATAGCAAAATCGATCATTGAAACGGTCGCCTCAATAAGGTGAAAATAAGTAATAAACATAAACATGCTCGGTACAATGGTGTAAGTGGGAATTTCTTTTGGTTTCGTGTTCCCTTCGGAGGTTATCGTATTTCACCGCGGCCATAAACATGCGTAGGGCGATGCGGCCGGCGACATTGTACGATGATGTAGCAGCCTCATCACAAGGGGCAATCATCCTTAATGCGCGACCGGCACATACGTAATGCGAGTCATTGTCCCGCGCGCGGTACTTATGGAAAATTCGCGTTCTTGATTCAAATCTTTAGTCCGTCTCCCTCGCTCGTGGGGCGGAGCCGCCTTCAACCAATGACTGCACCCGACTGTGGCGACACCGTGTAAGGCGTGTGTTATTAAAGAAACCTGTTCTAATGTTCCGCGCTTTAAATTAAATTTTGTCCGTGTGTAATTATCTCATTATTGTGATTACGAATTCTCCGCTAAATGCTCATCGATTAAAATAAAGATTGGTTCTCCAAATCGAACGTCATGTAATAAGTTTATCAATGTACTTTATAATTAAACGAATGATTTTACTTACTGTTGTTAACGTCATGGATATATCTATATATTAATAAGTGAAGCAAAAACTTTGTACCCCTTTTTACGAAAATTGCGCGGACGGAGAAGTATGAAATTTCCCAGACTTATAGAGATTATAGAGAAGAAGTGCACAATGCTAATATTTTCTTAAAATAATGCATAAAAGATACATTAAATCAATAAAGAAAACATTACACACACTACCATGTATTTGACACACATACACGCATGAATACTGTTTGTTTATTGTCAAACTTTTCTTTGCAGTCTGTCAGTTATAGTCTGTCAAATTGAGAATAGATTAAATATTGTTTTCTCTTTATTAATATTTGTCTAAAGTGTAGTTTTGACGAAATCTGTTATTAAAGAAGTATAATAGTCCTTGAGAACAGAATCATAATAGTGTACAAACTTATAATTTCCATTAGTTATAGTCGAATTTCGACTACCAGGGGAGCACTAGTATTGATAATAACAAGAAAGTAAAATAAGAATGTTTACTAACATGATCCACAGAAGTCTAGTTCGAAAAACGCAAAACGAAATTGATTAAGGAACGAATTGCTTTAAATTGGAAACCGATAGTGACGTTCCGAAATTACATTCATAAGTTGGCTCAGTATTACTTTATCGATACGAACGCCGGTAATGGTTTTGGTTGAATTAGTTTTAATGGAATTTTCACGCTTTACAGAATAAAATGTTACACGAAATGCTTTTTTTTTTTAGTGTAGGAATAATAAATAGTTATCGAAATGGTTATTTGTAGTCGTGTTATTGTTTATTAAAGTGGGTGTGAGCGCCATCTGGCGGAAAGTGTGTGAAGTTGTAGAATGCGCATGCGCATGCATTGCTTCGCAACTCATAGCGGACGGTACTGCCACCAATAATAATAATTAATAAATAGATCGAAATTTATTCATTATATAACTGATACAAATTAATGTTTGTAATCACAGAGACGTCAATCGAGGAAACAAGAGGAACAATAGCTCGGTCATGGTTGAAATATTAACAAGAAATTTATTCAGTACGTACCTACCTACTTCCCTTGAAAATAAAAACGTACATCGTACAATAAGTGCCTAGTACGATTTCGACTTTTTTTTTAATATAGCTTTTTAATTGCTTTAATTATTTTAATTAATTAATTTAATGATTTTTTAAGAGGGAGATCCGTTTTACATGAAATCGATCCTTGATATATTTATTTAATGACTATGGAGGCTACTATCTGACGATACAGATTTACAACTCAGGACACTTCGTGCTAAATATCCGACTGTAGTTTCGATACTTACTTAGTCCTGCCACGAGTTCTAGTTATGATTTTCTAAAATTCCAACATTTAATTACCAATTACGGTAGATGATACGCCGTCCTCACTAAATTAGTTAGGTATAAAACAAAACAAAAATCCAAAACATCTTACCATTGTCCTGTTGTTCATATGACAACTCCTGGGGCTGAGGTATGACTTGGAAAAGTTCAGCGACGTCAGGCGTCGGGTCTTTGCCTTCGGAACGTCGCTGGAGCTGATGGATTTGTTCCATCTGTAGATGTTTCACCGAACGCACGTGCTGTAGCAGCGGAAGTCGATGCGGAGCGTTGAAGCCGCATAGCGCACAGCGGTAGACGCGAGGTCGTTCCCGTGGCATCCTCGAAGCGCATTCCCGAAGATGTCTTAACAATAGAGCAGCGGCTTCGTGTCGAGCTCCGGCTGCGTGGAGTTGCAGTTTGTGGGCCGAGTTAGTGTAGTAGTCGCAGGCACAACATCGCACCTGGACTCCCCCGACACCGGCCCCACCAGTCCCCACAGCCCCACAGAACTTCAATTTCCATTCGTTTCTCGGGCCGCCTTCTTTAACGTGATTTACGTGTTGCAGCCGCTGTAAGTGCTTGTCAGTTTTGCAGTGCAACTGGAAATTCGCTTTCAAATTTGTCTTGTAAGTGCAGAGCTTACAGACATAATGACCCGCAACTAGTGCTAGTATCTCTTGTTCTCGGATTTTTGTACGATCTTGGGCTAAATGGTGTCCCAATGCTTCCAAAGAATCAGTCGAGAAACAATTGCAAATACAACAATGGAAGGTCCTTTCCGGTTCCGGGTCCGCTGGTTCTGGTGGGGGTTCCATGGCTTCAGGATTTAAGCCGACGTCAAGATGTGCGCCTAATTCTGGAGGAGACGGTCCAGGACCTCCAGTCATCAGTTGGATCATTAGCGCTTGATTATAAGCCATGTCAGCGAGGGCAGCTTCTGGATTGGGAGGCGGCGCGTCCCCTCCATGAAAGTGTAATAGAGTCTCCAGCTGTTGTTGGCTCTGCTGTCTATGATGTAACGCTGATAATGTTTGCATATGTTTAACATTTTGCTGTAAAACCAACATGTTATGCGTATGTTTTTCGGAGGTCATGTGTATTCTCAAGTTGCGCGCCACATTAGTTTCATAGTTGCATACGTCGCAACGAAAGGTCGGTTTTGGTTTTTGGCCAAGAGGTGAATGGTGTGGCAGAGGTGGTTTGTGTCCACCAGGAGGCGTGTGTTGCGGTGCAGGTGGTAAAGCTCCCTCGCCTGGGTTACCACCGTTTTGTAGTTCTTGCATATTATTAAGATGCTTATCCGATTGCATATGTATACTGAGATTACCTTTGGTAGTTGTAGAGTAATTGCACACTTCGCATCTGTAGGGTTTGTATCCGCACGTATAGGTTTCACCACGAGCAAGTCGCGGGTGTGGTTGTCCGGCTATGCAGTAGATACAGCTAGTTTCGGCTTCGGGATGTTTCTCCTTCATATGAATTTCTAAAGTCTCTTGGTATTTGTAATGCCAGTTGCATTTTGGACATTTTAATGTTTTGCAGGAATTCCGACTGTGCATTCCTGCTAATGGACCGCCTAAGCGTCCTGAATTTAAAATTAATTCGCACTTCGGACAATCGGCTCCAGATGGACGCCCGCCTAGATGGTCCGGACAAACTCCTATCGTTGTCCCAGATAGGAAAGCTGGTGGGGTGGCTTGGAACGGTGGAGAAGAATTCGGACTCGCTCGTGGTTGAACTGATGCGTTAATCGTATGAGGATGTGCTACAGAGATCAAGGAATGTTGAGGAATCATTGTTGATTCAGCTATTGACCTTGGTGGTCTCCATGTGTTCGGACTAGGCCTTCTATCATCACATGTGCCATTAGGTAGCATTGAATCATTTTCTCTATCTGGCGTCATTTGTTCTGCTCGTTTGTCTATTGAAGGGTTTGAATATTCTGACATATTTGCAGGACTACCTGAAGCAGAAATGCGAGATGGGGCTGCAGCTCCTACTGGTTCTAAAAATGAGACTAGTGGTTCTTTATCTTTCCCCACGCACTGAATAATTGCTGATGCATTTTCCCTCGATAAAGCGTCCCTTTCAGAGTCTAGTAACGATAAACTGTGATCTGATTGGGCATGCGCCACAAAAGACTTGGCGTAGCCGAAACTCAATTTACATATAAAGCACATTAATATTGGTTTGACCGGTACGCTGACTGGACATTCAGTTAGCGGGGATGACGGTCTAGGAGTGTCTTTTCCACCTCTAAAACTAAACACTCGATAGCTGTGCATAACAGGCGCGTCAGGCCTGGCTCGTGCTCTCTCAACGGCCAGTCTTCCATAAAGTGCACCGTATAACGATGGGTTTCTTGAAACATAGAAAGCACTGGCTATTTGAGGAAATTCAAGCTGCTTTTCGACGACGTTGCTATCACGGCTATCGACAATGCACCCAGGTTCAATTTTTGATAATTCCGATAAGCTTGTTTCGCCCTCTGACATTTCGGGATCTTCGATGATATAGGCGGAACCGTCGGGGTTGTACACAATTTTGCCATCAAATCGTTCGACGTCTGAGGAGAGGGGCGGGGAGTCACGGCGGGAGGTGAGGTCCACGGCATCGGGCGCGGCGGGCGGTGAGGTGGGCGCAGGGGCGGATGAGGGCGCCGGCGTTGGCGCCGCCGGTGCCGCTGGAGCGTTGCGCGGCTCCTCTTCCGGGCTCATGTCGCCGTCGTCGTCGTCTGGTTCGAGCGCGGCTGAGCTCTGTGGATCGTCGCGTTTGCGGCGCCGCTTGCGCTCCGGGGGCGGGCCGCTAGCGGGGCCGCCGGGCTGCAGCGGCGTGGGCATGGCGCCGGGCGTCAAAGGCCGGCATCACATGCTCTCCTGCAACAATTAATTGATCTTATGTAAAATTGTAAATTTATCTTTTGTACTAATGGTAGGACATCTTGTGAGTCCGTGCGGGTAGGTATCACCACCCCCCTATTTCTGCCGTGAAGCAGTAATGCGTTTCAATTGAAGGGTGGGGCAGCCGTTGTAACTATATTTGAGACCTTAGAACTTATATCTCAAGTTGGGTAGCGCATTTACGTCGTAGATGTCTATGGGCTCCAGTAACCACTTAACAACAGGTGGGCTGTGAGCTGGTCCACCACTAAAGCAATAAAAAAAAACTAATAAGATTCGTCAAATATCGTCTGCCCACTGAGTTGTTTCGCCGGATCTTCTCAGTGGGTCGCGTTTCCGATCCGGTGGTAGATTCTGCAAAGCGCTGCTCTTGCTAGAGTCAGTGTTAGCATCACTCCGGTTTGAGCTCACCTACTAGCTAACCGTAACCCTAAGGTTACGCTGAAATAGCCTCTCAAAGCTATCAGCTTAGGTAGGAAAAAAAGAGTCAAATATCTTTTGGGTAAATTTTAAAATGCACGCAATTAATCCAATATTAATTTCTGTATGGTAAGCAATCAGTTTATTAATGTCAGATCAAGATCAGTTAAAACACACCTCATTAGTCAGCAATCACTTATTTCTATTGGATCAGTTTTATATATTTGTATCAATACATTTTATAGCCGGATGTAGGTAGGGCAAATGATGTAGTTTCTAAAAAATGCCCAAAAATAGTAAACAATTTCAATACTACTACTAATAATAAAACTCAATGGAAAACATGTCTCTCGTGTCGTGAGCTCTTATATAAATGCGAACAAACATAGGTAGGTTATTCTCTATGATGTTCGATAAAATTTAAGTTCCCATGAAGTATCATAAATGCCTACACAAATTAAAATACATAGTAATCGTTATCTAACTGACATTTGCGCAAACAGCCGCGATCAATTTATCCGTATGACAACCTGTCAACGCTGTCAATGTTGACACTATTACAATTAAGCAACCAACAAACTTAGAACTCGACAAATATAAGTCGTACAATTGGCAATGTGACTCTCATCGTAAATTAAACCTTATATCTAATCAATAAGGCACAGTAAATAGCGAACGAAATAAAGATGCATTCCGATAAGGAAAGAGGCAATCTAGAATGAAAATTCGTTAAAAACGAGATTAAGCCATCATCTACGTTATCAGAGTTATCAAAGGTACTCGTCCTACAAATACCTAACGAACTACTAAAATAATATGTTGATTCGCATGACAGATGCATGTAGATAGATAATCAATGGGGCCTGTCACAAGACTCGAGAAAAATAATAATTGATTATTTTTATTGTTCACGTTAAAACATTATGAGGTAAAAGATGTTTTGTGAGGGTTTTTTTTTGTGCTTTATAAGAGCAGATGAGTTCGCGGCATATCTGGTGTGAAATCGCAACCGGAGGCCATAGAAATCCCAAAGCCCGCCACCCACGTTGAGACATGAGCAATTTAGGCAAAAAGAAGAGTTTATCGGGTTTTATTGTTTTTAGATACTAATTACTTACTTTAATTTAGGAAATAGCAAGTAATGTTCAGTAACTCTGTTCTGATTGACGCTGCAATAATCCAACTTTGTAATGGAAAGAACCATATTGTATATCGGAAAATAATAACGAAAAAAAAGATTAAATAATTTAGGGGTACAGCTGAGATAACGTTGTTCATAAATTGAAGAAAACTGGGAATAGTGTCCGCAGGATGTTTGTTCTGATAAGGCGTGGATTCAAATTGGATTGGACCTTGAGTTTTCTACAAATTATTGTGGCCACACCTTAGTGTTTGCTTTATTAACGGACGGTTGGCCCACGAAATCACCCGGCACCTTGATGACTTGATCGCAAATATTTGTACGATGACGTACCATCAAAGACGGCCCTTGTTCTGGACGGCAAAGGCGATTTTTATCTTGAAACCACAACGAATAAAGATACCTACACAAATTTAAAGGAGTAATAAAGCTTGGCACTCATTGATCTCTAAATTCTATGTTTTTTTTTTCTTCAAGGCCCATCTACAGTGGTTTATCGGAGCCTATAGACATCATAGATGTCGCTATCTCAGTTCTATAGTAGAACGGCTACCCGACCCTTCACATCGGAAGGAATGATTGGTTCGCGGTAGAAATAAGCAGAATTGTACTAAATATGCAAGGTGTACAATACGTCTGACTGTAAGCCTGTTACTTATAAGAATGTTTCTAGTATAAATATCTAATTAGATTGAGATTCAAAGTTCTTTTTATAACTAAAGCTTGAGTTTGTCGTGCATGGAATTGGTGGTTACGTCTTTATGTGGTTATGTCGAACTGTAGATGACTAAAAAAATGCGATGAAAGGACAAATAAAACAACGGCCTACCCGATGTTAAGTGGTTATCAGACCGATTGCCGCCACCCGCTATAAGACATGATGTCGAATTTCAAATAACATATTTATAAAAGACAATTGGAGAAAAAGGTTATAGCCTGTAAAATTATAAATCCTTCTCTTGATTAGACGATGTTGTCTATGGATATTCTATGCCATGGACTTGCAAATTAAATAAATAGTTTTTTAGTAGAAATGTTTTATATACGTTTCAACATTTTCCATAAAATTGTAGGAAATTTGTTTTTTTGTTAATAAAATACTTAACACACTCAAGTGTTTTTCTTTCTGAAAATTTATTATGGTTTTATTTTAGATTGTTTACTGAGCACATAATGTATTTTAAATAGAGATTTTGAGGTATTTATTTCTAATTCGTTCGAAAATTAATCAGACTTTAAAAAATGTCAAACAATTAAATAATTTCCTCATATAATTTGGTAACTGACTCAATGTTAAAAACGTACATAGATACTATTGTTAAAAGCTATGAGCAGACAAAAACTTATGTTTATTTAAAAAAAAGCCTTATGCAATATTTATTTATTTAATTACTAACTCTATGGCTCACACAAGAATACGCCAACAAATAAGGCGGAGATTTTAGGAAGAAAATTCGTAATATTGTAAAATGGTGCTCATTTCTTATTATAACTATGGAAAGACTGGGAAAATGTACTTATGTTTTTTTACTGTGAGTTCAATGGAACGTTTACATTTTCAATAATTTGGTTTTACGAGACAATGCACTTATGAATAAAAATTACCAAATGCGCATGCAATTGTAATCAACGTTTAACGTTGAACTTTACAATCTCCAATGATTCGAGTATTTTACATGTGACCGTGGCCATGAAAACTTAAAATTGAACTATAAACGCGGCAGGCATAAAAGTCATTTTCAAATAAAGCGACAATTCGCGAATGGTAAAAAAAAGTTTTTAAATATATTTGTGACAGTATTAACCAAGTTTGTATTGACACCGACTAGTCAAGTTAAACAAAATAAAAGACAGCCATTCATTGACGCGACACCGTGTCATTATAATGCAACGAACTCCAAATTAAAAGGCCGCGAATGAAAATGCGTCTATAATTTTTGTTTTGCAAGCGTTACCAAAGTGGCACTTAATATAAGTAAATTTTTAATGTGTCGTGCACGTGCCAAGATTCTCATAGTTCACAATCAGTGGTTCTGTCAATTTCCACTAATACCCCGATGCTCGCTGCAGAACTAATTCCCGATAAACACGCACACACCGATAATGTGCGGTTACATTCGAGTGCAAATTACAAGTGCAGATGAGTGTGTGTGAGCGTGAGAAAAGTACGGCGGAAATAACTACGAATGTGTGCTCCGACATTGACGCAATTCGCGTATACGTATTCGGTGTGCCCCACACACACGAGTGCGAGGCCCGCATCTAACTAGTCAGCCACAATGGTTACCGACTCTGTCATAATGAAGACGCGCGCTTTTGAATTCATTAATGAGACTCCAACAATGTTATTGATAGGAACCAATAGAGTTTTAGTCGATGTCCAACGATCACTGCTAATTTATATCGTTTATGTGAAGAGAAAGCCAACCACGTTTACGAAATACGCAATAATAGGTTGACGCAATTTAGAATCGAATGTCGGAAGCAATGACTGTTTAATTAGCAATGGCAAAAGCATGAAGAGTCAATCACCACACTCATTACTTTGAATGAGATTCCGGAATCCATTACATTTCAAATAAGAATTTGCATTTTAAAACGTAGATATATACTAAAGTATAAACGTGGCAATTAGGGTAAAAATGTTTCATTAAAATGCTACAAAACAAATTTAATATGTGACAATAATGAGGAAAAAATTTATATGTAAAATATGATGTAATAATGTCTTCTACTGGCGACTACTGAAATATCGATAGATGAAATTCATGAATATAACTTGTTTTTTTTTTTTTGGTGCTTGTTTCTGAAATGATGCACACGAAAGGAACACGTAAAAAGAGACTCAGTAAAACATTATGCTTCCATATTAATAATCGTTGGTTATTACGAAGGCCCTCATTAAGTCGCATGCCGTTCGCTTCACGAAACCACAACACTGCTAAATAATTACCCTCCGAGTGCTTTCTTCACAAAAACATCGTAAAACACATTAAATAACATCTACTAAGTCCGCGCAACGAATTGTAATTTATAACGTAGGTAGGTACAAGACGGTCGGAGGATACACCGAAAGTGTCGATAGCGATTGAAAACGTAATTGAGCGATTTACTTAATATATTGATAATAAGTGCAAGGAATGTATGTAAAGGTTGCGCGTAATGGAGGTAGTCTCGTTAGACGTGGGAATGGATCCGCGGATTGGATCGGTACACGGTGCCGGTCCAGTCCAGCGATGTCCACCATTGGGGCCTGACTTTGCTTTCATTAATGGTAATGGTCCTGAACTCCGATGATGGGAATGTAGCTTTTTGCTTCAAAATTCAATAACAGCTCTTCCCTAAGTATTATCAGAGGGTAAGAAAGTATTTTTATTAG